CGCCTGCCGCAGGCCGGTGTCGCGGCCAGCTGTTGCTGCTGTGGAGCAGGGAGTGGCTCGCGTTTCGTGGATCTTTGCTTCTGGGAATGGTGAAGAGCAGTAGCTGCATAGTCCTTGGTGCTTGCTGGGGAGCGTGGACAGTACTTGCTGCCGAGGCTTATCAGCTTTTGAATCCTTGCTTTTGGTTTGCTTGGGCTTCTGCAGTGAGGATAAAGCACAGTCAGCTCACACAGGCTCGTTTCTTGATCTGTCCTACTTGCCCCCACTGCTCGGTGCTTGTGCTGGCAGTGTGCACTGTGAAGGCACAAGGAGATTAGATCGTGTTGTTTGGGACCTCTCCCTTTTTCCGCTCGTTGCTGGGTCCTGTTTTTCTTCCTGGGGGCTGTCTGCACAAACTGGTTGCTGCTCTGTGCTGGCGCAGTGCCCCTGCCCTGGCTGGGCAGGCTGTGCAGCCCTGGCAGGTGCTGACAGCCAGACAACGCGTTGCGGCACAAGTGCTGAGCACGGGCGTTTGTCTGCTTTGTCCCTCGCTGCAGACACGGGCAGTGCAAACGCTGGTGGTGGTTAGAGTCATTTGTTCTGGTGTGAATTTGGAGGTCAAAGTAAGGTCAGGGATTCCCCACAGTTCTTCACCTTTGCTTGCTGAGAGCTATCATGGTTTGGGTTAACATGAGCCAAGCCCTGGCATGGTGGGGTCAGAATGTACCTTTTCTGGTGGGGCTGTGCAGATTAGTTACAAGGAGAGGGTGTCAATGTGAAGCTCTGGTGCTGCCCTCCACAATATATTCCTTACCTGAAGTGCTTTATCTTGTGCTCTGTGCCGAACTGGCACATGTTGGAGACCAAAGCTGGTTTGTTTGTGTCGTCCTTTCAGTGTGTTTTATCTGGTACTGATCATTTTGACACAGAAAGAGAAATTTCCTTCCAGGCTTTTCTGTGCTCTCCTACATGTCAAGTAAGATTTGAGAGGCTCAAGTATTTTCTTTGGATTTGACTTCCCCCCTCTGCAGACAGATTAGGACCCAGACACAAGAAATTCATTGAAATTTCAGCGTGGCTAAATGACTGGCTTGTGGCTTCAGGCTGCCATAGAGATCCGAGCTCTGCTCCACCCCGCAGGTTGAGGGATGGGTGCCAGGGACATTGTTGTTGGGTGATCTGGGTGAGCTCGGGGCTGCTGCTCACCAGTGAGGGCTGCACCAACTGCTCTCTGACAGGGAGTGAGTAACACACATTGCTGTGACCCTGCACTGAAATCCTGGTGTATCTCAGGATTTCACATGTGAATCTGTGGCTCGATGAGCCCCGAGCTTGCGGAGAGGCTTTTGTTCCCTGAACCGTGTGACATCAGACTCTCTTTGCCATCTTCAGCATTTGGACTGATCTGCTCCCCAGAGTAAATTCTCCCACTGCTGTTGTCCTAGCATGAAATTTATTTGAATAACAGCTTTACTTTCTGAGCATCCCAGAGCAAAGTGCCCCTTGTCCTGGGGAGGTGTGACGACTCCATCTGCACTGGTTTTTCTGGTCAGCGCAGCACATGGGCAGGCTTTTACTTGATACCCCTTGTAGGGAGGGGGTGGAAAAGGGAGGTGCTGACCTCTCCTCGGTGATGCAATCCTGATCCTTTATCATGGCAGTATCTCCTGAATGCTGGGTTAGGTGGCACCGTGGAAGCAAGGAGATGTGATAACTGTGGAGTGGAATGGGCGGAGTGACTGTGTGCTGCCTGTGCTCTGCTGCTCCCCAGGTACTCATTCCTGCTTTGCTCTGAGCACCGTGCTTGGATGTGCACTTGGGAATGCAGTGGCCTGGTCTCACTTTTAAAAAAAATAGACTATATTTTGCTAGCCATCGACTGTGATGACCTCGCTGCAGCAGAGGTGGGGCTGTGCAGGCAGTGCAGAGAGGGCCCGTGAGCCGTGGGGAGCGAGCTGCCTGTGAGCCGGGGAGTGTCGGTGCCTGTTTACCCAAACGAGCAGATTTCGGCGGGACGGTGCCCCCGCTGCCGGTCCCGGGCACGGAACGGTCTTGGAGCGGCAGGACGGCCTGCGCTGGCCGTGCCGGCCCCGCACGTCCCGGCCGCTTGCTCCTGGTCCGGTGGAAGCGGCCTTAGGCCCTCCCGAGCGCCCCGGGACCGGGACCGTGGACGGGCACCGGGGCGGTGCCGGGTGGGCGGGAACGGGCGGGGCCTGGGGTGCGCCCAATGCCGCCAATGGCAGGTGGCGGGGAGAGTTACATCACCGGCAGTGGGCGCCCATTGGCTGCGGCGCCGCCGCTGCCACGCCCTCGGGCCGTTGTCGGCCCCGGGAAGAGCCCCGGGAAGGGGCGGCCTGGCCGGGCCGAGCGGCAGCGGCCGCAGCCAACTTACGGGCATAGTTTAGCGCCAGCCGCCTGGGCTGAACCGCGTCCTCTAATAAACCTGAAAATACGTGGGTTCCCAAGGGGAGGTGGTGCTGGGCGCAGGTCTGCGCGGGGAGCGGAGCAGCTGGGGCGCGGCACGCAGGAAAGGAACCCGAGGGACTCGGGCGCTGGTCGGCAGCAGTTCGGCCAGAGCAAGCGTGTGCCTGGGCACTGAGAGGGCAAAGCCCATCCTGGGATTCCGAGCCGAATCCCGCTCTGGAATTGTGCCCAGGGCGCAGGTTCCTGTCCTGACACACACACGGGTGAGGCCTTACACGGGGATCTTGTTCCATGGCAGAGGCACAGGGCGAGGCTCCATGGCGCCAGGGCAGGGCGGTCCCAGGGCTGATGGGCTCTCCCAGCCCGTGCTCGCCTGTCTCCCTTCTGGCTGCTCTCCCTGACAAACCATCTCCTCTGTTTCTGTTGTCCCCCTGTGACACTCCATGCCCTTCTTGCAGGCAGCATGCATGCATAACTTATTTTTCTTGGGTTGTCCAAGTATCATCAGAATTATCTGCTGTGCCTCCTGGGAATAGAAACTTCCTAACGGAGCTGAATTGCAGCACCACATTGACAGGTCGGGTTTAGCCTCCTGCAACTGGCTCGTGGAGAACCTGAAACAGAGCTTGGTGCCTGCTGTCCCTGGGAGCTACACAACTCACATGCAACAGTGGCCCAACATAACTGTAGGAAAAGTTGTGCTCTGCTGCAGCAGAATCTTTATTTTTAGCTCAGTGTTATGGTGTTGGGCTTGGCAAGCTCATGTGAGCAGGAGAGTCTCAACCCTTCCCGGGTGGGAATGTCCTGGGTGTGACAGCTGCCTATTGACCACATTTCTTTCTGTACCTTTTCTACATAGGAAGACACCATGTGACTGCGTGAACCAAGACTTTATAAGAAATACTTTGCTGACATCTTTGTAATGTGCTTTGGTAAATAACCCTTTCAGTGCTGTTGAGGGAATCTGTGTTGCACTGTGGATGTGGGCACAAGTGGGTCCCCTTTTGGGGGTGTGTGTGAGCGTGTCTGTCATAGTGAAGAGGGAAAAGGCTGGACAGGCCTGGGTGGGCCTGGCTGCCCCTTCCACAGGCTCCTTGTGAGGCACAGCCTGGAGTGATGTCGCTCTCCTCAAATGCTGCTGCGCTCCCTAGCACAGAGGGCTTTGTGAGGATGTGAAGTGTGGCACGTGGAGCAGAAAAGGAAGATAATGGGAGAAAGAGCATTGATCTCTGCTTAAATACCTTCACCCTTTCCCAGAGGATATGTCAGGCTGCTCAAGAGCAGCGGGAGAACCTTGTGTCCTTCCCTGGAAACTCACCCTGGTGCTGATTGCACCGTCCTGCGCTGAGAGTGGGCACAGGGATTGTGCTTCTGTCCCACAGGTTCTAAAGCATTGAGGGGATCTTTGGGATGGCTGAAGGTGATGTTTCAGTTCTTGATAGCCATCAGTGACCTCGTGGCTGTCTTGTTCTGTGCCTGATGTGTTATTGACTCTTTTGGAAGCTTGGCTGCTGGAGCACTTCCCATGTTCTGCCCCACTGCAGTGACTGCTGAAATCAGGAGGTTCCTTTCTGCTTCATCCCTGGGGACACACCTCGTGTGTCAGTGTGACTGTGCATGCAGTGGTTGCCATGCTCATTAATTCTTGGTTTTGTCTCTGGAATTTTCCACTGTCAAGTAACTAGATTAAAGCTCAGTCCTTCCAAGCTTCCCTTACAGGGGTGTGTGGACTAGGACAGGGTAATGGAGTTCCATGTGGCCCTGGATGTCATGTCAGGTGCAAAACTTGGGGAGCAGAGTTTGAGGCAGTATGTGCTGTGCCTGTGAGTGTGTCCTAGTCCAATCTTGCTGTTCTTCATTGGGTACTGTTACTGGAAGTTCAGAAAATTAATTCAGGTAGCACCACTGCCATTTGTTTGCTTCTCTTTTCCTATGAAGGATCTGGCTGTCATTTGGATTGGCACTTCCCAGCTATTGATGGCTGGGTGTTACAGCTGGATTTCAGTGCTTGGAAAGAAACTTGCTGAGGTAGTAAAAGATAAGCACCAGTTTGTCTTTTCCTATCACACATCTGAGTTTCTGTGTGTGGGAAAGGGATACATTGTTCCTGGGAAAGGTGGCATTTGAGGTGCTCTGAGTGTTGGGTTCTGCTGCTGGAAGGAAGACGGGCTGCAGAGACTCTCCAAGCAAGCTGGTGCTCGGAGAGCTGCCAGCTCCCTGACAGGCTTTGGCAATGGACCTGGGTTTTTTCCAGCTGATGGAGAAAACTAATGCCATGCTGTAGTTTTTATGGTGTTCCTTGACCATAGGGAAGATACTCAGAAGAGGGAGTTTGTGCAGCCTTTTAACGTTTTTATTGGCTCGTGTGGGGGCTTTCTGGAAGGAACGAACCCTCGGGATGTGCCTGAATGAGCTGAGGGGCACTTAAGGGTGCAGAGGGGACTGAGCCTTTGTCACAGCCCTGTTCTGTCCTTGCTCACAGACTGTGACAGACAGCTGGCACTCGCTCCATGTGGCTGTGGTGGGGAGCAGGGGCGGCTGGCTGCCGCTTTCCCAGCGCTCCCGGGAGGCTGGAGGTGCTGGTCACCCTCTACCGAGGGATGGGGTTCACTCTGCATTCCTTACAGAGCTGTCCTAAAAATACCATGGCCTGTGCAGCAGCACTGAAACCTTCCCTTGTCGGCCCTCTGCCTCTCAGCCCTGCCTCGGGAAGCCCAGGCAGCAATCGTGACAGCTGCCATGGGTTTGGTGGAGCTCAGGCTGGGGAAGTGGGTTTGGTGGGGCTCAGGCTGGGGAAGAGGCTTCCTGCTGGGCCACCAGATGGGAGAGGCCATGTGCTGCTGCTGCCTCTGACTCCATGTCCTGCCTGCGGGGAGCCTGCACGGCAAATCCTGATGGACAGAGGCACAGCCATACCTTAAGTTAGCCATGGGAGCGTGGTGCTTTTACAAGCATCCCACGGCAACATGGATGACAGGAATAGCTGTATCCTGTTTCTACTTATCAGTGTTCAGGAAAAATCCCATTTCAGGTCTTTAGTACCTGTCTCACAGAAGAGCAGGATGGGCTAGAGCAGAATGGGAACAGCTCACTTGGTGTTTATCCTGTCTGGATTGCTTGTTTATTTTGAAGCACCAAGTGAAACTTGGGCTTGCAGTAGGCAATTTGTATTCATTTCTGGTGTCCATTAAATAGATGGGAATGATGCCTGTCTCCCTGTGGGGTATTTGGCACTGGTGGGACCGCACCTCAAATCCTGGGTGCAGTTCTGGGCCCCTCATGACAAGAGAGATATTAAGGGGCTGGAGCGTGGGCAGGGAAGGGAATGCAGCTGGGGAAGGGGCTGGAGCAGCAGGAGCAGCTGAGGGAGCTGGGGGGGCTCAGCCTGGAGAAAAAGAGGCTCAGGGGGGACCTTCTGGCTCTGCAACCCCCTGACAGGAGGGGGAAGCTGGGGGGGTCGGGCTCTGCTGCCAGGGAACAAGGGACAGGATGAGAGGGAACATCCTCAAGCTGTGCCAGGGAAGGGTCAGGTTGGGTATTAGGGAAAATTCCTTCCCTTAAAGTGCTGTCCAGCCCTGGCACAGCTGCCCACGGCAGGGTTGGAGTCCCCATCTCTGGAGGGATTTAAAAGCCATGTGGATGTGGCCCCTGGGGACATGGATTAGTGGTGGCCTTGGCAGTGCTGGGGAAGCAGTTGGACTCGGTGGTCTGAGAGGGCTTTTCCAGCCTCGGTGACTCTGTATCCAGAGCAGTGCTGCTGCTGTCCAGAGCACCTTCACTCCTGTCATACTTTTGTGGGTTTTTTAAGTTGTTGATCTACTGCCTGGGGGGAATTTGTAGTGAGGTCTGTCCTGTGGTGTGTTGTTTAGCCAGAACTGTTCAAGTGCTTTTGGAGAGGCTGGATGGCCACTGGGTGACAGCCTCCGGGGCGGTGGCCTGGCACAGTCTGTGTGACACAGTGCTGTGGCTCAAAACTCATCCTTTTGCTGCAGAGCAGCTGTGGCTCTGGCCTGGGCTCCGTGCAGAATGTCCTGGCTCCCAGTGAGGTCCAGCTCTGTGGGCCAGCGCGGAGCAGGACCAGCGGGAAGCGACAGGGACACGTCCTGCCTGTGCTAAAAAGTGTGTCAGGTTCTGACTCGTCTCTCAGCAGGACATCTCCTGAGCTGGTGCAGGGCAGTGTAGTTACAAGCTCTAACACATGGAGGACTTTTAACCCTCTCTTTAAATGGTCCAGATGTGCCTGTCGGGTTAACAGATGAGCTTCTCGCAGATGTGTTTGATCTTGTTACTTGTCGCAGCATGTTTGGAAGAACCAATTATTATACTGCTGATGGTCACATTGTCTTTTCCTTACACTTTAGTTGCTGTGTGGGTTAGTTTGTACAGCCATGGTAATAGTCAATACGTTCCTTTCCTTGCCACTGTTATATTACAGTGGTTATTTTAATTTTCTTGTCGAATTAACACCTTTCAAGCATTTTGCTACTATAATTGCCAAGGCCAGTGTGTCAGTTTAATTAAAACTTGAAGTAGGATTGCTTCTTTGCTTTGTTGGATTTCTTTTGCTTTTTCCTGCAGTGGATCTGGCATTCTTTATTGTGTTACACTCTGAATTAGCCTCAGATCCCAGAGAGCCCTTTTTGTTCTGTTGCTGATGGTAAATTTGCTGCTTTTTGTTTCCCCACAGCTCAGGCAGAAGCTGAGCTCCACGTGGCCCAGCTGCTGGCTCTGGAGTTCTCTTATCTCTGGTCCCAAGAGTTTGCCAGCTGGTTGGGCAGAGCTTTGATCCCTTTCTCTGGCCTTAACAAGTGGCCAGGGAAACTCATTATCATATTCATGCTACTCTGAACCAGACCTGAGGCTTCTTGTGAGGGTCTGGCCTGATGTGCTGCCACTCCCCATCTCTTCAATGTGCAATTCCATTCCTTACTGATATTTTAGTTATTATGGGCTTTTTTCCAGTTTTTATACCTTTTTTTTCCTAGATTATAAATAATCACTGTCACTTGTGGCTTAGGCTGTGTTTGTTTTTTTGTTTAATTGACAGATTATGTGAACTACAGAATGTCTCTCCAAAAGCCTGTGTTCTTTCAGTGATAGATATCCAGATGTTTGAGAGCTATAGAAAAAATACACCTTGGACAATTGAAATAACTTACCAAAGGGAGATTTAGCTTCCGGATTTTTTCCCCTTAGAGCTCTTATGCCACTTCCCCCATTCCCTTTTAAGTAATTAAATTCACTTGGATTCCTCTTGAGTTTCCTTGCCTCTTGCATACACAGACACAGAGCTGTGTTAGTACCTCTGTGGTGCGGAGCTGCTTCCTTTGCTGTGCTGCAGAAATCCAGGCTAAGCTGGGCTCAGGTCGCTTCTCCCTCAGAGTGTAAAAAGCTGCCTCGTCTGTGGGCTGTCTGGGACAAACACGGGAGCGATACATTATGTCCCTGCTTTCTTGAGGGCTTAGGATTCTGCTTTGCCGACACGGAGAGGGATGTGGAACAGGGATTTGGCAACCTGAACCCAGGAGGAATCAGCTATTGCCTTTCAGTTGTCTGTGCATTTATCCCCTTTTACTCTTCTGCCCAGGCTGTCGAATCTCCTCAGGAACTGAGAATTGCCATCGGTGATGTCAGCTGGGTTTGGTGTCTTGAGTCATATCTGGTGCCCTGGAATATTGCCTATGAGTCATGGAAATAATTTACGCTTGTTGAGCTTGGCCAGAAGTGGGAGATGTGGCAAGTCCACAGCCCCTGGCTGTGTTATCGGGGCAGATTTTGAGTAGCTGCCAGTACTTGAGGACTTAGTTAATCCAGTAAAGCTGGGAGTCTCTCAATAGAGGGCCTTTAACAGTTGGACTCGGGGATTTGGAGGTCTTTTCCAACCTTAATGTTTCTGTGAATAGGCAGCAAGCATGATGAAAGAAGAGAATCCAGAGGGGTGAACGGGCACTGGGTGTCAGTGTGGTTGCTGTTACCTTGTTCCCTGCACTGGCTCACACACACCTGCCTTTCTGCTGTCTGGGGCTTGTTTAAAATTGCTAAAGTTAAAGCCTTTTGTCATTCAGCTTTAGTAAATGTACTGGGCATTTTTATACTGCTATCATCCCTAAGATATTGCTTATACTACGATTTGAAGGAAAAATGTTCTATCCTTAATTATCTCTTTTTCTTTCAGCTTTCTTTAATGATGAAACATAAGAGGCCTGGCCTGGTATTTAGATGTTGGTGTCAGTGTATATGTATACATATGTGTATATATATATATATATATATATATATATATATGTATATATATATATAAAACCCCCCAAGTTTTTAAGATCAATGTGAACATCATATTAAACCAAAACTCAGTTCTTTCAGCCCTCAGTTATGCAGGTGGCTCAGGTGGAAGGGAGCAGGGTAATTCACGTATAGCTGTCATCTCCTGTGATAGTTTTCAATAGTTATTTTCCATAGCTCAGGCTGTCCTTATATAATTATGACCTGTATTCCTTATTCCTGCCTGTGCCCCGCCTTGCAGCTGTTGTGTCACACTCATTTACTGCTCAGTTGCTGGAGAAATCTGCATCACTCTGGTTTTACTGTGCTCAATGTCATTTGTCACTGGAGTGTGTCACCTGCAGTGTCAGAGTATTGAATGTCATCGTGCTTCTTTGGATTCCCCTGGGAGATCATAAAGAGCGTCACTTGTATTGGTGGACTGTCACTCTGTGTTGTTGGGCTGCTGAAGGAGTAGAACGGGGTAGAGCAGTTCAGCTGGAATGATGAAATTGGGTAAATTTGATCATGTGAAAGTGGCTGCCAAGGGAGGAGGGACTTTTGAGGGAGCTCTTATATGTGGTGAGAAGCTTCCAGCAAATGGGATGCTGATGGGGTCGGTCCCTAGCGAGGGAAGAGAAGGTAACAGTATGAGAAGGAAGAGCTGTGAAATGACCAGGACTTAGAGGTGATAGAAGTGGAAGATGAGTCTGGATTTGCCACGCAAATCTCTGTGTTAGCTGTTACCTCATGGGGGAAATTGGATCAGCTGAAAGCTGCCAAGCCTGGTAATGAGCACCAAGGCTGCCAGAGTTCAAGGAGCATTTGGACATTGCTCTCAGGCACACGGTGGGATTCTTGGGGTTGTCCTGTGCAGGGCCAGGAGCTGGACTTCAATGATCCTTGTGGGTCCTTTCCAACTCAGGATATCCGGTGATTCTCTGAAGTGATTCTAGGTGTGTGGCCAGTGGATGGGAACAGTAATTGTTGCTGTTTGACCATTAGAAGGTAAATTCTGCCCTCTTGTCCTCTCTGAGTGCTTTGGGATGGGAATCCAGTTCCATCACCACACATTGCCTGGTGCAGTGGGATGTTCACCATGACTGTGCCTGTCAAAGACATTGCAGAACAGCAAATGCTCTGGATGTTGGAGGAGAGAGCCTGTGCACATCTTTGGATGCTGCAACATATCTGAGGAAAAACAGTGTTATGGAAAAATTTACTGTTGGGAATGTGATTCATCTCAGATCTCTGCAGGTCTTTCAGCATTATGTCCTCTAAAAGCCCTCACCATTCTTGTGCTGGGCTCTAAACCCTCAATCCCCTCCCTTGCCTTGCTGTTCTCCTAGTGCTTATCTTTGTATTTAGTATTGGGTGTGGATGTGCTGGGTCAGAGTTTGCATTTATTAATTAAAGAAATTACTGTAGCAGTTTCCACTGTCATTGATTCCCGTGTCTGTTCTGAACCTGCAGCTTTCCCTTTGTTCCTCTTTGCTTTGATTGAGTTTTTTGTATCATCACCTTTCAGAAGATTCCTCTACGAAGCTGTATCTGAGTTCTTGAGACATTTCTGTATCCCTTTTGTATGGTTGGAGTTTTTTTTTGTGGTGGAATAAACTACAGGTATCCTAAAACATGCAAATCTAACATATTAGATGGGAAAGCAGAACATAGCTTTGCTCCAACACAGCCTTTGTGCACAAGAGGTTTTCTCTCAGGTATGCCCAGGGCTTGCTGCTTACACAGCCTACGGTGGCTCGTTTTGGGTATACCCCATCCTGAGCTACATGTGCACAATCCTGTCCTGGAATGCTCATTTAATTAAAAGTTAATGAGCAGAGTTCATAATTCTCCCATGAGGGTGGCTTGGCAGTGATCTGGTCTTGCTGTCTTGGAGCTCACACCTCTCTCCGTCCTTCCCTCCAGGTGAACCAGCGTAACGTCCCGGGGATCGACAGTGCCTACCTGGCCATGGATACGGAGGAAGGTGTGGAGGTTGTTTGGAATGAAGTTCAGTTTTCTGAGCGGAAGAACTTTAAGCTTCAGGAAGTAAGTTGATGTGCTTCTCAACAGAATGTGGAAACATATCTTGCACCAAGGTGGGATTATGAGTACTGGTGACCTCTTGTGGGGATTATTGGCTGGGTTTGGAGTGCTGTGCTGCTCAAGCATAGCCAATTTGGCTGAAGCCTGGTCTGTCCAGGAAATGTGCTGGAAAACTGTTGTGCTGTTTCCATGGGCTCTTGTATTCATTTGGATTTGGTGATCAAACCATGCTCTGCTGAGGTGCAGTGCAGGAGGAAATGAGATGCCATCTGTCCTTAGTGTAGGAGCTTGACATGTACAGTGCTGTTTAAGGGGACCAAGACCCAAGGAGAAAGAAGGATATGGGTTGATGTGGTCTCTGATGTCTTTGTCTTTCTGTCTGTCTTTAAGGAAAAAGTTAAAGCGGTGTTTGACAACTTAATTCAGCTGGATCATCTGAACATTGTGAAGTTCCACAAATACTGGGCTGATGTGAAGGAGAACAAGGCCAGGGTAAGAGCAGCAAACAGGCTGGTGGGTTTTCGTTGTGTGTTGTGTAGGTAATTAGTGAAGCAGAGGGTAATGACTCACACTGCCCCACAGGTGATCTTCATCACCGAGTACATGTCTTCAGGGAGTTTGAAACAGTTCCTGAAGAAGACAAAGAAAAACCACAAAACTATGAATGAAAAGGTAACTCTTTTTTTCCTGTATGCCCATATTCCCTGAAAACCATCAGCCCTTGGAAAGCTCTTTCAGCAGAGGATCCCTTTGAGAACCTGGTGATAACATGTGCCTCCGTGTCCCTGTGGCCTAGTTCAGCTACAAATTCTCTGAAACAGCAGTTCTGTGCTGGTTCTTTGCTGCCAGCAGCTCTGCAGCTTCATACATGTGGTGTGACAGGCATGTCCCTCTCCATGGGCCCTAACAGGAAAGAGGGAAGGTGTCTGTGTGGGGGAGGACTCAGGAGGACAGATGTGTTTCTGGACCCATGAGAATATGTAAAAACAAAGCTGAGCATGAGAGAGCTGATCCTTTACACCTGCACTGGGTAAAAGCTCAGGTGCCACAGAATGGAGCGTGTATTCCTGCCTATGAACAGGCTGTTAATCACAGAACTGCAGATCAGCTCCTTATGGGTGATTTTTATCCTTTTCCTCCTGTGTCTGCAGGCCTGGAAGCGATGGTGTACCCAGATCCTCTCTGCTCTCAGGTACGTGGGGTACCTTGGGATCCTGGCAGTTGTGACTCATGTGGTGGGGAGTGCAGGAGTTGAGCATCAGGGAGCTCTCCAGAGTATCCAGCTTTATAACCCGGGTCTCACCACAGCCAGGAGGATGTTGCAGAGATGACAGAGAAATGAAATTCCACGTGAGAGGCCTGAGGAAACCTTCCATAGCATTGGCAGGCTACAGCCCTGTGGCAGGCAGTGGATTCATGGATATTGAGGCATGGTGTTAGATGTGTGTGTGGGTCTGTACATTTCCTGATGATGCAGGTCTTCTGCAGCCGTCTCAGTGCAATGCAGCTGAGTAGAATGTGTTTTGGGTTTTAAAAATTCCTCTCCACCTGAACCAGAGTTGGTGAGTAGCTAATGAGAGCCTTGGAAAAACAATAACCCAGATGGCAGAGCGCAGCTTGCGCTCCATAGACAAAACTCGGGTACCATTTTGTGAAATTACAGCAGTTGGTGCATAGCTGGGGTTCTAATACCCTTTGGGACCTGACTGTCCTCATTTGTGCTGGCTGCTAACTTAAACCCAGGCAGAGTGAGGTGCAAAAACAGGGTGTACCTGGGACCCCAGCAATGAAAAACTTTATTTGTGCCTGCTGGTAGATATGCCCAGTCCTGGGTGTATAGCACTAAGTGCCTCTCTGGTGCTCTGTGAGTAGGGCCAGAATAAGGCTCTGATATTTTTGGTATAAAATTGTAACCCTTTTAGCACCCACCCAGCAGTACTGAGATGGATGAAATAGTTTTTACCTCTGGTACCCTGAGTTTCTTTGGAACTGATCAGAGAAAGGTTTCTTTTTTCTCCCGTGTTCTGGAGATTGATTGTTAGAGACAATTACTCAATATTCCTGATTCTCTCCTGGCTGAAGGCTGATGTACAGTCACTGAATTGTACCACCCCCCACTATTGTAAATCCTTGGCATGTGCCCTTTGCTCTCCTGTTCTCTTCTGATATTGCTTGAGGTGGGGATGGGGTTAAGGGAGGGATTCCAGGCCTTGGCAGTCCTTGACCAGTGCTCTGTTCTGCATGTCCAGCTACCTCCACTCCTGTGATCCCCCCATCATCCACGGAAACCTGACCTGTGACACCATCTTCATCCAGCACAACGGACTGATCAAAATCGGGTCAGGTAAGGCTTGCTGGGGGTGCCCCTGCCTATCAGACAGACTGCCCAGACAGGAAAAGGCTACTCCTTTCCAGGTTCCCTGGCATGATAGGCATGTGTGTACATGTGCACCTCCACATCAGGTATGCCCAAGACCGGGAGTAGAATTCACTGGTGATTGAACCCCTGTCAGGTGCAGGAAGGACTGATGTTAGGTGCCGTTTGCGTTTGAGCCCCTTCCTTAACTTTTTGTCTCAAGGGACTGACCCAGGAAATAATGCTGAAACTTTCAAGTTTTTTAGGCACATTATCCATGGGTTCATCTGCTCCTCAGTCTTTCATGTTAATACACGCAGAGTTCTCTTCCCAGCACTGTGGAGCTCTGGGAGCTGTCTGGGTAGCTCTGCCCACCGAGGCCACACGAGTGCTGCCTGTAGCAACCCACATTTATAATCAAGCTGACAGACTGTGGCTGCAGCAAGTGGCTTGTCTGGGCATCTCACCCAGCATCCTCCCTCCCTTGGACCTGGCTCCAGGCTGCTGAGCTGCCCTGAGCCTGGTTGGCACAGACATGCCCTGCTTAGGCAGCCACACTGTGATGAAATGATTTATTTCATAAATAAGCAGTGATGTTCCTGGCAGTGCAGTGCATCCTTGCATGCTCTGGTTTTTCCACCTTTGCTATGCCCATGTCTCTAAAAATCTGTCTGCAGTTGGGATGTGTTACGTCACACCTTGACGTGACCTTTTAAGGGGCAGCTTTGCTACCTGTTGTTTGACTTCTGCAAGTATTCTCGACCTGAGGAGTGGGTCTTTGCCTTCTCGGAGCCTTTGTCTGTATGGGTTTTGGTTTGATGTGGCAGTGTACTGGGAAGGATGCTCTGCTTCACCTGTCATCCAAAAATAGCCTCTCATCAGCTGCAGGTCTCTGACTTTTCTTCCCATCAAAGAACTCTTGTGTTGTCCCTTTGTTCCAGAACCGGGGTCTCTGTTCTCCATAGCAAACCTCAGATTCTTGCTTGTACCTGGGAAACAGGGTCATGGCAGGAGGCACACTCAGCTCCCAACCTGCCTGTAAACTTGGGGACTTGCTCTTTGCACAGGCTGATGTCATCATGGGATTCACTTTATTGTCTTTTCCTGACTTTGTCCAGGTGGAAGAGATTTCCAAGAGTGTGTACATCTGGTACCTGTATGCTGGCAAATACAGCTGGCTCCTGGCATTCAGTTCAGGCTGTTGATGGGAAGTCTGCTGTAGACTTGAGGACACAAGAAGTCCTCTTTTTCTAGCTTAGTTTAGAAGTATCATCCAGGTGCCCTTGTTCTGCGGGGCAGCCGGTGCTGTGTGCAAAGCCAAACCCATGGAGCTGGTGTTGGAGCCACGGCTTTCACCAGAGGGGGGTCCTACAGGTCAGACGAGCCATTCGCAGAGCGTGCGGCTCCAGCGGTGCCGTTCAGAGGCGGCCTAGAAGGAAGATGGCTCTTTGGGTGTGGGGCACAAATGGTGGCCTCAGCACAGTTACACCTTTGCTCCCTGCAGTTCCACAGAGCTTTGGTTCTATCAGGCATGGTGGGAAGGACACGGCAGTCATCCCAGTGGGCTCATGCCAGGAGTAGCTGGTGTCTGTGGTCACAACTGCAGGATGTGCTGGAGTGTGACTGTGCAGCAGCAGTGCTCAGGCTCAGCTGTTCCTGAGCAAACCCCTCTGTTCCACAGCTTTGGGCTGCCTGGTTTGCCTCACGTTCAGAAGTGAAGTGATTTATCTGGGAGATTCTGGTTTCCTAAATAAAAAAGGAAGTGAGCGCGACTGGACTTGTGGTCAGAAGAGGAATCCTCCAGATGGTAAAGCTGTATTTCCAGTGGAGGCTGAAATCAGAGTTGGCAGTGTTGCAGGATGTATTCCTATTCCTGCAGTGCCCACCCAACCAGGAAAGGCAAAGCTATGTCCCCAGGAATGGTGGTTGTGTTGGAACTTGAGCCTTCCTCTCCAGCTCTGCTGCCTGTGCAGTGCCAGACAGGCTGGGTTCACGTTAGAGCCCTGGAGCAACAGTCACTCCAGGGTCACTGATGATGCCCGGCCCACGTTTGCTGCTTCCTATCCTTGTTCTGTACAGCTGGCTGGTATCTGAGCACTTCCCTGTGTTTGCTTAAAAGCAGTGGGGCAGTAGTTCCCATGGATTTATGGGGAACAAGGATTCAGTGCACTATGATCTGCGCTTTGGTGCTCTGTCCCCAGCACCCTGCTGGCCACTGCTCCCAGAGCTGCTCTCCCCTTGGCTTTGGCAAAGAGAGAATACTTGCTGAATACAGGGCACAAACCTGGGCTAAGGGAGCTGCTGGTGTGCACTGCAGGACATCCTGCTGTCTTGGAGGGGAAGGCAGTGCCAGGAGAGCAGTGTTGTGTCGGAAATGATTGGTACTGGTTCCTGTGACACCTGTTCAGGTGTGGGAGCAGGCCTTTGCTCCTTGCTGCTCCCTGGGATGCAGGAGCACGTGTGCTGGCTGGACTGCTCACTGTTTCTCTGTTCTGCATGTAAATCTCTGTGTGCTGAGGGTCAGCTATGGAAGAAAAAGGGAGTGGGAAGGAGGGTGGATTTTGAATACTGCTTAAATGCAAAACCCATCCGTAATCCATTCATTTACTAACCTTTTTTTTCCAGTGCCATAAAGTGCAGAGTTAATAGATTTAAAGAGGGAAAGTTTCAAATGAGTGGGGAGCATTGGAGAACTTGTGATGAGAATAGGAAAGACACCTACGGCTCTTAAACTTGCCACTGGTGTTCCCAGAGACTGGAATGTTCCAGCTGCTTTGTGGAGCTGTGGTCAGATGAAAACATTCCTTGTGAGAGGTCCAGGTTGTGTCCTGTGTACTCTTCCCCAGAACCCGTATGCAACACCATGGTACCTCTGTGAGTATCTGTGCTGTCTCGCGAGGGGACATGCTGCCAGGTGTGTTCCTGGGACAGCTGCTGGTGCTCTGAGTGGGAGGAGAACACCTGTTCAGACAGGGTGTCCAGTGCTGCTGCCTGCTTGTGTTGGCATTGCTGGGAGGTGTTCCTGGAATTCTCACTGTCTGTGTAAGAACCATTCGCAGGTGAAAGAAGCGATGGGTTTGAATTAAAAATCCTTTTTGGCAGCTCTTGGAGTGCCCCAGCAGATGGGAGGCTCAAACTGGAGAGTCTCAGACGCAGCAATGCGTCAGCATGTGCTGAGTTAGACCTCAGTGGAGCACAGTGGGAGCTGTGTGGGGTGCAGTGCAGATTTCCCACTCGTGCCTCCTCCGGGCACTGGTAACGTGTGTGTCTCCTGTCTGCACCACACCTGACCTGGGACTCATTCAGTATGTCATTGTGTCTACTCAGAGTCTGCCCTCAGTTCCAGGCCACGGGGTGAGGACTCTTACTGGGTGTTAGCTCTGCTGTGGCGTCACATGGCCAGGTGTGTAAGTGTGGGTTCTGCTGCCGAGATCCATGACCAGGAGAAGCTGCTGGGTTGTAGATGGGTGGGGGTTGCTAGGGGACTGTGGGACACTCACAGAAAGAGCAGAATTTCCAGCTTCTTGGCCTCAGAGTCAGCCATAATCTTCTGCTTGGTCAGAGGTGCCTTGTCTCTCCTGCCCGATCTGGTTCTTAGGTAGAAACCTTGATGTTCCTTAGGTAAATTTCTTTTGAAGAGGGGGCTGGAGGCAGGGCTCAGTGCTCAGTCCTGTCCCTGTGTGCCCTGACTGACCCAGCTGTCTCTATGGATGTAAGTGCTTTGCTGTTCATCAACTCATTGACTTTATCTCGTTTTACTTCCCGCTCACGGGCTGCTCTGTTACAACAGTCTTTCATAGGATATTTGCTAATGGTGAGCAAACTTCTCCGCTCCTGTGATGTGACTCCACTTTTGTCATGTACATGATTTTATCTGTGTGTGTATCTGTATATATATATTTATATATATATAAGTGTGTGTATATCTATATTTGTAACACACAAACATACACACTGATCTATTTACAGTGTTCCCTTGCTATAAGGCTGTATGTAAAACTGTTTGGCTTAGGTGCATCCTGCTTGGAGAGCTCATGTTCTGTGCCGGGATGCAAACCGTTCCTGTGCTCTTGGCCAGAGCCTTACAGAGAGGGAGCACTGCCCTTTGTGAAGTCTCCTGGTTGGTTAGTTCTCTCCCTCTCCATGTTCTTAGCGTGTGCTAGTCCACGGGCCCTGTGCATGCCGGCTCCCGCATGTCAACAAGCCATGCCTTGTTCTGAGCAATTCCCAGCTAAACTTCCCACCTCCATTAGGCTCTTCCCTGCTGCTGCTCTGCTGGCCTTGGCTGGTCCCCAGCCCTGGACTAGCCCCGCTGTATGCTTGGCTATCCAACTGCTTGCTTGTAGTTTGAACTCCTTAGATGTGTTGGTTTTAAGATGAATGTTTCAGTGAATGTGTCTGGCTCCTGATGGCCAGAGCCCTCCCACCCCAAATGAGTCCTTGGTTTGAAGTAAGCTTGGCTATTGATGTTATCCCAGATAAAGCTCTGGTTTTGGGAAGATATGTGCATATGAGGAGGGAATTGGGCTGGTGGGGGCCAGAGAAGGATTCGAGTGCTGCAATTTGTACCCTTATTGCATAGAATACCATGTTTACCTGTAAAATAATTATTTTATTTTTACCATCAGGGTTGTTCTCAATGTTAGAGTTTGTTTCTACTGAGTTGGGAACCACCAACCATCAGCTGGAAGCATTGGAAAGGGAAGGGCCTGACCGGTTGGACTCTGTGCCTTCCACCTGTTGGCAGGAGGCCGTGGCTTGCCACTCTGCATCCGCAGCAGAGCAGAGGCCCCCAGAAAGCTGAACCTGGGATCTGGTGTAGCTGAGGGGGATGGTCATGTAGTCAGGGCTTGAGTCCTGAAGAGGGCAGGTGTTCCTGGGCATGGCTGCAGGCTGGGCAGGATGGCAGAATGGCAGTGGGCAGATGATCTGGGAACGAACCCGTGGAGTGGGAATGTGACTGAGCCTGGGTTCAGTCATGCTGAGGG